AATCTCCACACTGTTCTCCATAGTGGCTGTACTAGTTTGCATTCCCACCAACAGTGTAAGAGGGTTCCCTTTTCTCCACACCCTCTCCAGCATTTATTGCTTGTACATTTTTTGATAGCAGCCATTCTGACTGGTGTGAGATGGTACCTCATTGTGGTTTTGATTTGCATGAAATGTGTTTTTAAAAATGATTTGTGAACTACATTTGATAAATATGTTTTAACCCATAAAGAAAACATATGTAGCACTAAAAGATCAAAAGTCCATTTTCAATTTTTTTTGACATTTTTAAAAACATTTGGAAAATTTTAAATGCTAATTACTAGGTACTTGAATTTCTGCTTTAAAGTACATATTATACCTTCATCTGTAGTAAAGGAATAATGGAACACACAGAAGCATCAGAAATTGTGAATACTGGTTTTGCAGTTAGAGGTCTGGTTGGAATTCTGACTGCCAACTAGTATAGTGTGACCTCAGGAATATAGGGGGACTGTTCTCTTACTCCTGAACTTTGGAAGGAATACATAAGACTTTATCTGTTCTCTTCAATAGGAGCTTCTCTTTAAACCTCTCTGGTTTCACTTTATGTTTCAGTTTAGTTATGATTTTATTACTGTCCTTATTAAGTAATATGCTAATTAGAGTATAAAATACTTTGGGGAAAATTTAAATTAATCAATTTTACTTTTTGTTAGTTTGCAGCTCTTGTAACTTTGCCATTTGATGTGGTAAAAACACAAAAGCAGACACAACTTTGGATATATGAAAGCCAGAAAAGTAAGTTTAATTTAAAATGTGTCTAAGATGCCATGAAAAATATTTTCTTTCTAGACATTGTTAGGGATATCTAAGAAAGGGAAGACGGGTTCCCCCTGCCCCTTTTTGCCATCCTCTCCACTTAACTCAAACTGACGCACTGTTAGAATGGAGTACCCAGAAAAACTCTGAACCTAAACACAAAATTTCAGGGATTTTAAAGACTATGTTAGTATGCATATACATAGTCTCCTTTTTTTTTCTTTTCTATTTTTTAGCTTCCCTTTTGATGTGTCCCCCCCACCCCCCACCCCATTATCTCATCTACTTCTTTATAACCTGTAATTTCTTCTAGAACAAAATTGTCCTGGGGACTTCCCCTTCAATGCAGAAGGTGCAGGTTCAATCCCTGGTTGGGGGGCTGAGATCCCACATGCCTCCTGGCCAAAAAACCAAAATATAAAACAGAAGCAATTCTGAATACTCAATAAAGAATTTAACAATGGTCTGTATTTTTTTAAAAGTACTATTAGTTGCTTCTACTAGATTCATTTTGTTATTATTATAGAAAGTGTAACAAGCCCACTGGAAATGGGGCTTTGTTTCTGAAACAAAATTGTTAGGATTTGATTATTTGGATGGTCAATAGAGGAGTGTTTATTGTTCTGTGCTTGAAATATTAATAATCACACAGAGTTTCCTTACAGTGTATGAAGTTGCTTTTCCCCTGTAGAAGGAGCTCTTGGATGTTGGATCTTTAGGCAGGGCTCTGCCATGCTTTCTTGTTCATTGTCTTTTACATTCATCTCACCCTCCTATTAAAATAGAGACCAGTTTGGAAGTTGAGCTCCATAAGATTAGAAATACCCAGTTACTTAGCCTCCTTTCTTTACTAGTTGTTTCCAAAATTGAAAACATTTAAACAACGAGTATAAGTTGCCAACTTGTAGTATAAAGCTTTTGTCACTGACTGTTTTTAGAGAGATAAATTTCAGTCATAAATACTTTGTTCTTGGTTTTAAAATGTATCCTTTCTGTTTGGTTGCTCTAATTACTGTAGTTACACTATTTACATAGGTAGATTAGCTTCCTAAATGGCAAGGCCTCATTTATCTTCATAGAGAATCTGATATTAAAGAAATCTGAGATAATGAGCCCCTCTTCATTAAGCTGCAGATTCTGCAGAGCTCTACTGAATGACCCCTCCCCTAAGTTCCCCTTGTTCGCTGGGCACACTTCCTAAAGTGTGCTTTAATGCTGAAGACTCAGCGTTGTCACTGTGCACACTGATTGCTGTGGTTCGTAACGCAGCTCTCAGACGCTAGTGAGGGTAACAGGAGTGCTGGCCTGTCACCCACCGGTCTGGGCAAGACTGACATCTTCAGCTGTCACTGTTCTCATGGTCGGATGCCCACCTTTTAGTACATTTTTTTTCACCTTTAGCGTCTGTAGTCTGTGGGCTAAGCCAGCTGCTTAGAATCATTGTGTGCGACGAAGGTAGGTGAACTTTGCATATGTACAGCTGATTCATGAGGTTTATGTTTGAATCTGAGTAACATCTATTTTTGCTGTTTTCAAAAGATGTATAAATCTGTTTCCTTACTGCATTCCAGACACTTGAGTGGTTGCAAATAAGTGAGATGTTACTGTTAGTTACAGGAGAACTCTTCCCCTCAGAGGAGGCAGGACTGATTTATTTCAAGACTGGCACATCTATTCAGAAAGATTCTAGTAAGATGGAACCTCCTAGGGAGAATGAGCTATTTTCCTTAAAGCTTCTCGTTGGGGAAAAAAATTTTTTTTAATGTATGCACTAAAGTACAATGAAAAAAGGTTATCATGGCTTCACCTGGGAACCCCATGAAGATTCCTGTACATCTTTAAAAGTTTTCATTATGAAGGATTTTTAAGATGTGGAAAAAAGTATAAAGGATACACACCACCAGGCTTAAACATCAATTCAGGAGAGGCTTTCTGTATATTCCTCCTTCATGGCACCTGGTCCTATGTACCTTAAAAGTGCCTTTAAAATTTCTTTTTAATGAATCCAGCTATTAAAAATAAGATTTAAAATAGTTCTTTAGGTAAACAGGTCTGTTCTTATTATGATGAGATGATACATCCCAAAGCCCATGGACACTCCTCTATGTGTACTCACCTATGTTAGACATTAAGTGGTGATTTATAATAGCATCGTTTCTTTAACATGCAGTTTCTGTGCCTTTGCAAATGTCAACCTGGACTATAATGAAGAACATTGTTGCTAAGAATGGCTTTTCTGGATTATTTACAGGTAAAAATATTTCCTTTACCAAACTGTTGACTAAAATGTTTACTTTTCCTTTTAAATTAATTGCCTTTGAGCAGAAAATTTTTGAAGATATTCCTCATTTACTATTTCCTCCTAAATATCTTTGCTGTAAATTTAAAATTTTTTAAATACCAGTTGCTTTTGAAGTAATTTGGAATTAAAATGAGGAGTGAACGGTTCGGCTTGTTCTTTGACACCAGTTGTGGGACAGTGTTTTACATGTTACTTAATTTGATAACTGTCAGAATGAAACCAAATAAATTACATTTTAAAATGTAAGGTAAAATTTGGTCTGAATTTTTCTGTTCCCTTTTTTAGGACTGATTCCTCGTTTAATTAAAATTGCTCCTGCTTGTGCTGTTATGATCAGTACATATGAATTTGGAAAGTCTTTCTTCCAGAAACAAAATGCTCAAAGACAGCAATACTAGGGATACCGTTTAAACCTGAAATAACAACCATGACCAAATAATAAGAGGAGACTCTTAGGCAAGAGTTTTTTTTTCACTTTTTTTGCTATTATCTCACAGTGGTTTTCTAGCACTCTTATCTATAATTTAAATGAATAGTAAATCTCTACTTTGCATTTAATCATTCTAACTTCAAATTTTTATCCTAATTTTTGAGAATTTGAAAAAGATATTCCAGAAATCATAGCCATTGAGCATTCTTGTAAAGAAGAGAAAAATTATTCTACACTGAAAGCAATAATCTCAGAGTTTGGTACAGATTTCTGTGTAACTTCATCCTGTTCGGAGTGTCAGAGATGTTGAACATTTTTGCAATTGTGTGCTGAATGATGTACAGAATCTAAAAGAATTCCCAAGTCTTTTATACACATTTAAATCATGGACATAGATACTTAAGTGTTTCAATAAAGTAGATAACGGAAAGCAGTCTTTAAATATTATCCACATCATTTACCAAATATTGCCTATCAGTTATTTTCTTTAATTCATATATATTTGGGTTTTTTTTTTCCCCCTACCCTGTTACTGTTTTAAGGCCACATGTGTGTTAACATTTCTCTGATCAGAGGTATGGCTATCTTATGTTCATGAACCAAAAATATAACTTGTGCAATATGGATGCTGCTATTTTTGATGTCTAAAAACCCTGTATTATCTACTGTTTCTGTGAGAGAGAGTGTTCATGGACCGTATTAAATGTTCACTTCAGTCAAACTTGCAGCGAAAACCACATTGTACTCAGGCTAGTGAGAATGCTGTTTCAGCACAAGAAAGGCCTCTGGTTTCAGCTGTCTTGTCATCTGGTATTACCATTTGTGAAGTTCTCTAGGTCACATCTGTTTGCTTGTTCTAACATCACTGAGACAGCGTATGTTCCAGATGTCCCTTGACTTTACACATCTCACATGAGTGTGCTAGACCAAGAACTACCAAGCCAGCTTCCTTGAAGAAAGAGCTTTTGGTCACTGGAGGCTAATACCTAAGAAGTTTAGCTTATGAATGTAAGAATGAAAAAGAATATGCGTTCAAGACAAACAATATTTTTTAATTTTTTTTTTCTCTCAGGATCTGTATACTCTAAGAAAAAGCACTTTATTGCAGTCTATCTGTATTTTATGAAAATGTGAAACATTTTTTCCCTAAAATAGAGTAATACATATTTAAATGACAAATCTCTAGTGTTGGTAGGAATTAATGTATTTTCTAATATAGTAGAAAACTATTTATGTTTCACCAGAAATAAACTATATAGGGTTTGTATTTAAGTTTTTTGTGTTTATTTTATCCTGTGTTGATTTACTTTAAGTTTGCAACATATATATCCATAAAAATATAAATATTTATATTTTCACTGAAATATTTTGTGCTTTCTTAAAGCTACCAGTGTGCTTCTAGCTAAATACTTTCATATAAAATTATGTTAATGCTATACTATCAACATATATATAAACACACATGGAAGTTTATCTTGAACACTGATTTGAACAGTATTAAATTTAAATTTACCTTTGTTCTGCTTGGCTTCTTTTGGCTAATTGGTAGGAAAAGAGAAAAATTTAGGTTTTGAATAGTCTCAAAAAACAGTTATGTATTTGAAGTTAATATCACTTATAAACAAACAGAAGGGAAACTTTCATCCTCTTCTTGCCCCACTACTGACTGCATTGTGGAAAATTCTTATTTTATAACTAAAAGAACTTAAACCTAATTCCCTGTAGTTTTTGTAACATACATTACATGCAATGTATCTGAAAGAAAAGAAGTCTGAATTTAGGCTTTGTCTATACTTAAGTAGTAAAAAAGCATTACTAGTAGGAACCAAAAAGGTTTGGCTACAAATTGTATTCTTGGTAATGTTTCTAAATGCATTCTGTTAATGTTAAAATTTCTAACATACACATTTCTTATGTGTAAGCTTTTTAAGAGAAATGTCTTATCCAAGTATTACATGCTTGCTGCCTTTCATATAGTTCTATATTACTTTTTAAAAATAAAGTTATTTCTAGGAAAACTATTCACTATGTTTATTTAGCCACATTTGACTCCTTTAATTCTAGCCTTCCCATCCCCCCCCCCCCCAGGGCACAAATTCCAGGGATATGGGAATGTTTGGTGTATTACTTTTTAATTTTTGTCCAAAATGAACTTTTAAAAGTAAATTACTGTTATTATGTTTTAATCCGTCACTCAACACTTACTAAGGTGAGTCCTTTTATGTGGTAGGCAATATAAAAAGCACTGGAGGTAAGACATTTCAGCTACTCTCATTGGTCTTAAGGTTTCAGCTGTGATTGTTAGAAATAAACAAAAGAAGTAATGGAAAAGCTGAAGAATTCTCCCCTGGCCTGGGGTGCAGAGGCTGGTTGGGAAGTGGTACTTAGGGAGTCCAAGGCAACATACTTGGAGGCTGGGAGTCTTCAATCAGGCAGTGGTACTTAGCACCAGCGGCTTGAGCAGAGTATACACGCCACGTGGTAGATCAGATTGGAAAAAGAGTCCAAGGGGCCTGGTCTGCCAGAGGAGGAGCAAGAAAGCAAGAGAAAACTAAGGAAGTATTTTGGGCACAGCTCTGAAAAGTTACAGAGTTGTGTTTTGTTTTTCTCTCAAGACCTTTTCTTTTTTAAACTGAAAGAAAATAGGATAGCATAGGTTAGCCTAGAATAAAACAGAAAACACCAGAATGCGTCACATATTAAGACCAAGTGTTGTATAGTGAAGCTGGTTTTAGAAAAAGGACTGGCAGAATGAAAAATGGGACTTATGATCAGGTGACCTATTTAAAAACAAAAGTTTTGGTTTATACTAAAGTATATTTTTAAAAGGTACCACCATGGCATTAGTATAATTTTATCTTCCCCTATCAGTGGGGAAAAAAAGCTAAAGCAAAATAGAAGTTGCTTTGCTTACTAAAGAGCAAAGTGGACTAGGTAAAAGAAATTAAGAGCCCTGATGTTCAAAGCAATCATGTGACATTTCCAGAGTAATCCAGTGTATTAATTTATCAAAACTAGAAACTATAACCAACAATAGGAAATTTAACAAAGAATTTACATAAGTTGTAAATTTGAGAAACATTTTTAACCACTTGAAAATTTGTATGTACATCTAATAAAGATGACTTAAAACCAACTTAGTCTGCTTGGATGTTTAAGGTTCCTGTCAGTCACAGTTAATAGTAGTTTGCATTTGGTACTTACCGCTTCAGAACTTATAATTCTATTTAATGTTGACTTTATCCTGATGCCATCACATAGGTGCTGAGAGGATGGGGGTGGGTCCATTTTACAGGTAAGAAAACAAACAGGGTTGTTACATAATTAAATCACAACTCAGCCAAAACCACTACTGTACTGTACCACTTGAGTGAATGTTGTCAATTTAAACCATATTATGTCATTTTTTTAGAAAATGAAAAGTAATTTCAAACAAAATGAAGATTTCTCCAAAATCATTTTCATATTAGTATTTGAGGTGTTAATATTACAGTTACCACATTTGTTGAAACAAAAATTCAGTGTATACCTTGAATCAAATAACATTTTGTCAATGAAAAAATAAGACTACTACATGGTACAAAATGTTTAATATACATGCAACAAGTATCGTACATCAAGGCAACAAAATACACATGGAAATAGTAGCATATAGTTCAGCATTCTGTTTAGGGGAGGGTGTGTGAACAATGAACACAACTGAAGATCGAGACATACCTCATGCAAATGTTAACAAACTATCTCTAAAACTAGCGTGAAGTGAACTGTGTAGAAACCTGAAGTCACATTAGCAGATCCATTTTATACCAAGAGCTCCAAGAAAGGAGAAAAAGTCACTGTCCTCAGCTGTCATGTTTCAGTCTGCGTTCAGCAGCGCTTGTTAAGATGCACAAGGTTCTGTACACATCAGAACAAATCCGAAAATTTTGATCAATTAGGGAATCCTGTATTTCCTTTCTGTATTATAAAAATGTACAGAAAATGTAATAGTGATTTTCTTTAATTACTGAAGGATAATGTCATTTGAGAGTAGCCCATGAATGAAAGCATTTAAATAGTCTGACTGTTGTTACGAAAGCAGCAACAACAGTGCTTAAGGCCAGCCTGAAATTTTTGAAGTCCCCCTCCCCCCAATCGTTTCTCATTCGCTCCTCCCACGGTTTCCAGTACCCTTGTTTCAACCTTCCTTCCATTCCCCTTGCTGAGTTACACACTGCTGTAGATACATCATTCACAATAAGGTATACAGAATTAGACTAGATTGATGGTACCATTTCTCAAGAAGATTTGCATTACTACAAGTGCTAAAGACTTAAGCTAAAGGAAGCAAGCTCTGAGTGTGTTCTGATGCCTCTAAATAATTTCTTCTAAGGGCTTCCAGGTCTTCTTTGTCCCTGAAATGACATTGTTTGAACTGTCTTCACATAAGAGTAGCCTTGTTACTGTTTATTATCTTAAATTCTGAATAATGAGAGTAAAGTACTGCAGAGAACCACCACACTCCCACATTTCTAACACAAGGAATGACTGTGGTAAATGCTGCTTTTCTCTCAATATTTTAGGAGGAATGTTCTTTCTACAGTCAAAGTTACTAAGTTTGAATGTAATGTTTTATTAACATAAAAAATAGCATACGAAGTCCCAGATAAGTATTGTAGTAGCCTCTTCATGTAAACAATGTATAAAACATCTTTGGCACAATTGATCGTGTTTTCCTCATACTACTTACTCTAGAAAATATACTTCATACATTTTCTCTTTCAACATGGTGGAATTTGGGGGGACCAAATGTACAGTTGTTTCAAAATTTGCAAAAATTTAAAAGACAGCTCAGAGCTTTTTAATAAAACTAACTTTCAACTAGTAATTTTTAAGGTCAGTTTTAAAATGAGATTATGGCATGATTAATGACAGAAGCTGTTAAAGCACGTAAGACACCATTCTTCTTGCACACAAGAGAAAAACAGCACTGGATGTCAGATGTTAAGTATGGTGATTAGCCTACTGATCCTTATTTTAAAACTTCTTAAATGAACTTGAAATCTTTCCTGACAAAATTGTTTTCAACATCTGTTCTACATTTTTAAGTTTTTCCAATTTATAGGACATAAATGTGATCAATTTTTAAATTGGTAAACTTTAAAGGAAATTTTGGGAAAACAAAATGTTATTCATTTACCTAAATGGCCTAAAATACTGTAAAATACTTCCCTTGTGACCCGAACAAATTTAGTAACTGCCTAAAGGCACGTCCTACAAAATTTATAAAATGTTGAATGGAATGTTAGGTTGATACTAAATGGCAACTGTTAAACTGAATAAACTGCTGTGAAACTGCAGCTGAGAACCTTTCTCCTCACTTCAAAGACAAGGCATTTAAACATCAGAACCTGGGAAGTTCATGAAAAATGAAATGTCATTTTTAGAAAATGTAATTGAATAAGAGAGCAAAAGAAAATACTTAAATGTCTTGAATAAAACCTTGAATTCAGTCTCTGGCAACTATGATACATTTAAATATATGAAAATCAGCTGAATAATAAGTATGTACAATTTGCAATGGATTATTAGAGGATATCTGAAAGTTTTTTAAGCCTGTGTTTTAAACTTCAGTCACAAATATAATTATTTTTAAATGAAAAATGGCAGCATTTTTTTTTTCACCCAGAAGTTTACATGGAGTGGACTAAATTCTCTCATATAAGCAACAGAATTCCAGACATGTCCCAGAACAATATAAAATTCCAAAGGTTTTCCCAGCAGTCAAACTTACGTATATGGAATATTTGCAACATAAAAACTTCTGGCTTTTACATACAATTTTTCAGGATGGAGTCAGACCTGGACTTGTCATCTCTGTTGTAGGACTTGCAAGGTAGTCATTTGATTTTAGGCTTGTTAGAGATTTGTAACTTGCCACTGATGTTAGAGACCCACAGAGACCAAGTAATGAGGGAGTATCTTCTTTACCTGAAAATTAGGATAAAATAACAAATATTTAATTGCTCTTGAAACCTGATACTAGTAAGATCCTAAAACCATTAAACTTTACATACTGTATAAAACAGTGCAAACATACTGTAAAATCAAACATCTGTATGTTGACATGTTTGATCTTCCAGTAGTTTCAATGCTACTCCTTATAGAAACATTACAGTGGGATTATTTGTGCTGCTTTTAAGGTTCCAGATCTGGAAGCTTGAGATGTTCTGGAACAAAAATGGAATTTACCTTTTGGGGGGAGAATATGGTCATATTCAATTAGTAAAGAATAACAAAAAACTATAGCAACAATACAAGTGCCCAGGCGACAGAAGTACCAGGAGATCCATATGTGGGTGAACGTAAAGTGACGCAGAAGCAGCAGAAGCGCTTCAGTTCCGCTGGAGGCTGGACCCAGGGAACCTCTGTCCACTGACTGAATAAACCTACTCAGCATCTGCGCTGCACCAGGATACGGTTACCTGCCGGAAGTCAGCTGGGCCCTGAAGGAAGAGTGGCTGAGGTCTGTGTCCGTGCCTGGGGAAAACATTCTTTCCCGAGCAGCACAAGTTTCAGCCCCCACTGTGCACACGCTTGCCCTGAGAGGCTGGCCTAAGGCCGTGAGAGGCTAGGGAGGTGAAAATCAGTTTTCCGAAGAAGGTGGAAAGCTCAGGCTTTACTCACGTGGTTACAGAAACCTAAACTGAACCAGATGTCAGACGTTTCTGAATATCATACATTGTCTCAGACCCTCTCCAGTGTCTTCACTGTCATTCTATATGGCAATTGTGGGGCGCTCCTCTATTAAAAAACCACAGACTGAGTAAGGACACGGAGTTTGCTGTGGTCGTCGTCATATTCCAGCACACAGGAGACGCTCACAGTTACACAGTGAATGACTCAGTAAGAACTGTGCTGGGACATGAGAGAATGCCTGTGTTCTTCACAGCCGTGCGACCCGGGGAAAGGCGTCTTCTCGGAGCCTGTTCCTTCCTTTGTAAAATGAGGACAGACACCAAAAGATGACTATGTCCACTTCATGGTTTCGCTGACTAATAAAATATAGGAAGATATAACACTTAGGAAAACATATGGAAGAATAATTGTTACATTTCGGTTTTAAATGTTATCTTATTTTGATGAAGGACTTCCCTGGTGGCTCAGATGGTAAAACGTCTGCCTACAATGTGGGAGACCCAGGTTCAATCCCTGGGTTGGGAAGATCCCCTGAAGAAGGAAACGGCACCCCACTCCAGTACTCTTGCCTGGAAAGCCCCATGACCGGAGGACTGTGGTAGGCCACATACGGTTCACAGGGTCACAAAGAGTCGGACATAAGAGTCGGACGTGACTGACTGACTTCACTTTATTTTGATGATAACACTTATCATCAAAAGATGCAGGTGTTCCTTTTAAGGTCTAAGCTTAGAGACCTATTTCAGGCCATTTAGAGTTCTTGCTAAATGCTCCAGGAACTCAAATGCTTGAACAGTTTCTCCCAAATTCCTTATTCATCATTGACCTATAATATTTCAAAGAGACTTACTGCTAATTACATACACACACACAAAGGCACAATTCAGTGACATTAATTACATTCACACTATTGTGCAATCATCGCCAACCACTATTTCAAAAAATTTCCATCATGCCAAACAAAAACTCCCTACCTCTTTAAACAGTAGCTTTCCTTTCTCCCCTTCCCCTCAGTCTCTGGAAACCTCTAATCTACTTTCTGTGAATTTGCCCATCCTAGATTGATTCTTAAAAGCAGAATCATCCAGCATTTGCCCTTTTGTGTCTGGCTTATTTCACTTAACATAATACTTGTTTTCAAGGCTCATGCATGTGGTATGTATTCCTTTTCCATGGCTCAGTAACACTCCATGGTGTGTGTATATGACATTTTGTTACTCCACTCATCTCTATGGACATCTGGGCTGTTTCCACCTATCTACTACTGAAAATAATTCTGCTGTGAACGCTGGCATCCAAGTACCTGTTTGAGTCCTATTTTCAATTCTTTGAGAGTGTATACTTAGATTACACATATTTTTAAAACATACAGATTATAACATAGTAATTGAAAAGACTAAAAGTCTAACATACACAGTGGAGTAATATGCAGGTGTAAAAGAGAATGAGAAAGATCTCTATAATTTCCAGGATATACTATGTTGTGGAAAAAGCAAAGCCCATGACACGTGTTACCTTTTATATTGAGGAACATGTATTTATTTTAATTTGCATATGTTTTTAAAGATCAATAGATAATAAAACAGTTACTTATGAAAGTAGAAGTTAGCAGAGTTGAGATGAACTTTAAGCACAGTGCTCTGACTCTGGGATATATTCACAAGATTAATTACAAACGTATCTTAATCTATTTTAACTTTTCCTATTTTAGTAACAGATAATATTACTTTGAAATTAGAACAATAAGGAAAAGCAAATAATTATGTCCCTATAAACTAGGGACCAATATTTTCCTCATGAGAAAGATATAAAAATATAAAATCAAGTACCTGGAAGCCTTTTATGTATGAATTACAAAGTAAAATAAATTTAAGGTATATTTTTCTTTAAAAAACTTCCTAACTCGCTAGTGAAGAGGCTAGAAACAGTGACCGGTCCAGTCATAGCAGGCACCTCTATGGCCCAGATTATGTTCTCCGGTATCATTTTCTAGTGTAAGGAAACAGGACCTCTTGGAGAAACAGCTGATCCTGGGTATGGCCATGAAATGTACCAAAGAAACTCAGAACATCTTGTTTTCCACAAAGCAAGGAAGCTGTGACAGACGATGTCGAAAGGAACGGTCTTTTAAAGGGTCTCTTGGTGTGCCAAAAGGACAGTGACCTCCTAATGAGATGTACTAAAAAAGATGCATTATTTATACTGTATTCTTCCCAATGAAATTAAAAGACGCTTGCTCCCTGGAAGAAAAGTTATGACCAACTTAGACAGCATATTAAAAAGCAGAGACATCACTTTGCAAAGAAAGGTCTGTCTAGTCAAAACTATGGTTTTTCCAGTGGTCATGTATGGATGTGAGAGTTGGACTGTGAAGAAAGCTGAGCACCTAAGAATTGATGCTTTTGAACTGTGGTGTTGGAGAACACTCTTGAGAGTCTCTTGGGCTGCAAGGAGATCCAACCAATCCATCCTAAAGGAAATCAGTCCCGAATATTCATTGGAAGGACTGATGCTGAAGCTGAAACTCCAGTACGTTGGCCACCTGATGTGAAGAGCTGACTCACTGGAAAAGACCCTGATACTGGAAAAGATTGAAGGTGGGAGAAGGGGATGACAGAGGGTGAAATGGTTGGATGGCATCACCGACCCAAAGGATCTGAGTTTGAGTAAACTGGGAGTTGGTGATGGACGGGGAGGCCTGGTGTGCTGCAGTCCATGGGGTTGCAGAGTCAGAGACGACTGAGCGACTGAACTGAACTGACTGATTCTTTCCAAATATGTGTAACCAGCATATACTAAGAACGAACAACCAGAGAAATCTAAATTGTCAGGGATTTAACAAAACAGTTGGCTGGGTGCATAAAATACATAAATGTTAAGTGAGAGAAAAAGTTGGGAGTGGGGCACGGTGCTCGGCTAGATGAAAGGACACCAAAGAGACTGAAAACTAAATACTCTGTGTGATCCTTGACTGGATCAAAAAAAAAAAAAGCAACAAACAATCATAAAATTAAGAAACATTTCCAGTTACAATAGCATCTAAAAGAGTAAAATACTTAGGAATACACTTAAGCAAAAGTATGCAAGTGTGTACACTGACAACTATAAAATAGTGCTGTAAGAAAGTCGAGGTTAAAATAAATGGAAAAACATCCCTTATTTTGGTGGACTGGAAGATAATATTGTTAACATGGCAATGTTTCCCGAATTGATCTAAAAATTCAATGTAATCCCCATCAAAATTCTAACTGCCTTTTTTTATAAATGACAAGTTGATTCTAAAATTCATATAGGGGCTTCCCTGGTGGTCCAGTGGTAAAGAATCTGCCTGCCAATTCTGGAGACACAGGTTCAACCTCTGCTCCAGGAAGATCCCATGGAACAACTGAGCCCATGCTCCACAACTACTGAGCCTGAGCTCTAGAGCTTGGGAGACACAACTACTGGAGCCTGAGTGCCTGGAGCCCATGGTCCACAACAGGAGAAGCCACTGCAATGAGAGCCCAAGCACTGCAACTAGATAGTAGCCCCCGCTCACCCAAACTAGAGAAAGCCTGCATGCAGGAATCAAGACCCAGTACAGTCAAAAATAAATTAATGAATACAAGTTATATTTGGAATAAAGTCATAGGAAATGCAAAGGATCCCAAACAACAGAACCAATCTTGAAACAGAACAAACCTGTAGGACTCACATGTCCTGATTTCAAGGTTACTGCAAAGCTACAGTAATTTAAGGCAGTGTGATATGGACTAAGGATGATGCGGCACCATCATCAGAAAAGAACTGAGAATCCAGAAATGAACACACACATGTATGGGTAATGGATTTCAACAAGAGATCTAGGACCGTTCAGTGAGGGAAAGAAGAGTCTTTTCAACAAATGGTCCAGGGACAACTGACTACATACAGAAAGAATGAAACTGGAACCTTAGTTCACACCATACACAAAAATACATACACCTTGGATACATATCAGTTCAGTTCAGTCGCTCAGGCGTATCCGACTCTGCGACCCCATGAACTGCAGCACACCAGGCCTCCCCATCCATCACCAACTCCCAGAGTTTACTCAAACTCATATCCATCGAGTCAGTGATGCCATCCAGCCATCTCATCCTCTGTCGTCCCCTTCTCCTCCTGCCCCCAATCCCTCGCAGCATCAGGGTCTTTTCCAATGAGTCAACTCTTCGCATGAGGTGGCCAAAGTATTGGGAGTTTCAGCTTCAGCATCAGTCCTTCCAATGAACACCCAGGACTGATCTCCTTTAGGATGAACTGGTTGGATCTCC